CGTGGCCCCGCGGAGCTCCCCGGCGCCGGGCTGGGCGCCCGCTCCCCCCGGCCCTCCCCAGGCCCCTGGGGGCTCCCCGCTGTGCCCCATTAACACGATGCGCCTCTATTGCAGATGCAGATGCGATTTGACGGACTACTGGGCTTTCCCGGGGGGTTCGTGGATCGCCGTTACTGGTCCCTGGAGGACGGTCTGAATCGGGTGCTGGGCTTGGGTTTGGGCTGTGTGCGCCTGACGGAAGCTGACTATCTGTGCTCGCACCTGACAGAGGGGCCACATCGCGTGGTGGCACACTTCTACGCCAGGCAGCTGACCCTGGAAGAGCTGCACACCATCGAGATCAGCGCGGTGCATTCCCGAGACCACGGGCTGGAGGTGGGCTATCCAGGGAGGGGGCGTCTAGAGCTCTGAGCGTTAGCGCCGGGGAAGACGAAGCTTCCCCGACGAGGTCTGCTGGGCTGCTCTCCTTTGCAGCTGAGCGGGGGAATGCACCGCATTTAGAGCTACTGGCGGCGAGTGCTGCGCACCGCCGCGTAGCGCCCGCGCTAGGAGGCTTGGCCGTTCGCTAGGGCAGTGTCGAGGGCTCTGTAGCCTAGAGGGCTCTTGCCTTTCCCCAGCACCTGCCCTCGTAAGGAAGAGCCCTGTTTACTTGCTCAGCGTAAGGACCTGCGTGAGGTCACTCTTGGAGCTGGTGGGCATCTCCCCCAGGCTGAGTAACCTTGGCTGGAATCGTGACCCTCGCTGTGGTGACGTGTTGCTTTCACCCGAGTTCCCCCCGGATTGCGAGAAGGAGGCGGGAAGGAGGCAGGCTCCCTTCCGAGTAGCTTGGTCCGGCTGACGCCCCGGGGTAGAGCGGGAGAGCGAGGGTCTCCTTGTTGGCCTGGGTAGCCCACAACAGGTTTCAGCAGCATCCCGCATGGAGGCGCTTGGCCCTGGGTTGTGGCACTGGTGAGGGGGACGTGTAGGTAAGCTGCAGTGTCCCGAGGCAGGGCATGGCCTGGGAGAGTAGGGCCCCCCCCGGGTAGCAGTGTGGGGTAGGGGCTGGGGCTGAGCAGTGGGATTCGCCCCCCGAAGGGCAGGAAGGGGAGTGGGGCTGGGTGGGCGCAGGGGCCGGGGAGAGCACTCAGCTGGCCGGGCTGGGCAGGCGGGAAGAGGCAGCACA